GAGGAAGACCAACGAACACATTACGCCGGGAAATGGAGATAGGCATGAGAAAAATGAATAAGAATTGGATGGAACTAGAAAAGAAGGCCGAGGACAAGGTGGTTTGGAGAATGCTGGTCTGCGGCCTATGCTCTATTGGGAGTAATAGGCGTAAGTAAGTAAGTAAGCAAACCTTTGTATAACATCTTTTTACTCTATACTGACTGTTTGCTGATTGGCTGATATTCGTCAAGGTCACTTAAGATTCGTTCAAAGGTTGTCCATAAATTAGAGTCTTTCCGAAATTTCTCTTTTACCGGAGTTATTGGTCATGAGTTGAAACTGGATGAGTAGAGAGCTCGTTTAACTGAATATAATATCTCAGTATATAGTTGTTTTTAGGTTTCAACCGGGTTAATAAAAGGGTCAAAGTCTATGAGTATATAATATATTTCAGATCTATTTAAGAATTAAGTCCACTATAAAAATAATACTATCTTGAAAGTGTCCGTCGGAAATTTTTTTCGGGGTAAAATGTACTTGATATATAAGATAGGATGATAGTCTCCGTACAATGCACCCTACGAATGAACACGTCGAAGAATTCCTAAACCACGTGAAAAACACTTACCACTTTCAAATTTCGCGCCGACAGCCGTTTGGACTACTATTCGCAGGGTGAAGTCATTATGTTGCACTCTCAGTCCAAACAGCATAAACAACGATATGATGAATGTGGTTTCACATTACTGAGGATTTGTATTCATACACAGAGAATGTGTTTCGAAAGCGGGATTAGTGAAATTTCGGGCTTGTATCATGATTGTCAGTCTATTAATGTCAATTAGCTGCTGTCATTTCTTCACACATCAATGATGAACCAAAACTGAGACAGGAGTCGATCTTATCGAATCATTCTTCCATAAGATGATTTGGAAGAAGTTCATTTTGAATAAGGTTTAATCAAAAGTCCATTCGTGGCCATAATAAAACCCGCAGTGTTTGAGATAAGCAAAATAAATACGGATAGTATGTCGCCTTATTCAATATTATATTTTGGTACAATGTAGAATTCTCAGCACACCGGATCCCAACAACCACCAACACACACCTTTTGATGTGTCAGAGTTTTCATACAGAGGGACGCTCCCTGGAATGAAGAAGTCTACGGACGACATTCTATCATATGTGACTAAATGAAGGTATTATCCGTTAATTGAAGTTCGAAATTGTCGATATATGTATATACGAAGCTCACAATGGTTTCAAATGTGTGCGGTAATACTTCAGAGCAATATATTGTGTGAACCAGCAATAACGGTAGGTCATTACATTTTTCTTATTGTCATAGAATTTTGATTTCAACTAGCTGGAGGCTAACTAAGTGTTAATCCCACCTTAATTTATGCCGCTTTACCAAACGAGGAAAGTACTTGACGAGGCAAAAGACGGTAAAAGTATAATATGCTGGCGGCCTTGAGCTAAACGAACAGAATTGCGATGACGTCTCTCGTGTTTTGCACAAAATGTTACGTCCGGTGATAGACAACGTTGCTGATATTGCATAGTAAGCTAATATTGGCTTTATATGGTTCTCAAAATGTGGGAACTGAACAAAGGTATCTGTCATGCGAACAGAAAAAGAAATCAAAATGATCTCTCAATTAAATTACGATTTAATATTCTTAGGTTTTTCCCGACATATCAGTCTCTCACATTCGAAAACATGTTTGGCGTGATCTTGTATAATTGTTAGTTTAAAGTACCTTCTGTATTAAAAATTTCAAAAATGTTAAAAATGGTCATAAATAAGCAACACATATACTAACTATGATATGTGACCCCTGGCAAGCATGAAATCGAAGTCACTCTTCAGGGCAGAATTCTCATAAAAGCCATCCAATCCGAACATCCAGAAGTACAGGTGAACTAGGTTTTTCTCTGTGAAGATTAAAATAAATTACGGATATAAAAGGCAGAATGAAGGGTGAAAGATAGTTCTCATGAACATTAGGAAAATCATAGTCTATACAAATACGGGTAAAGCAATGAACAGTAACGTACATAATGAAATCTGTCAACAACCTTGTAGCACACGCCTCAAACATCGATTCTACAACCTACATTGTCCAGAGATCTCTATACCCATTGTTGCAACGAATCTATTAGGCAATTTGAGCAAATTCAGAACCCCATCCTCCCTGGCAAGACAAATATATAACAAATTTTGTTTTTGTAAAAGTACTAATTCCGTGAGGAAATGTGAACACAGTTAATAAAAAAGTGTTGATTAGTAAGGTGTATCATTTCACAGAATTCATTGGTCTAGCACACGAATTACTCCGAACTACATGAGACCGACTAAAATTTTGGACATGAACAATAAAATGTAAACATTCGAGAGCTTCATATAGAAAACGGTTTACTCCTAATTCAAAGACTGTTAACACCGCCAGTATGGAAGGCAATAATGAAACTCAGTGAACTGGAAATTTATATATTCACATACATATCGAACGTTAACTATGATGGTACTCATATACTGGCAGTCGTGATCACTAGGTATCATTAGTTCCTCAGCTCTTTCTCATTACCATTCCATGAGAATAGAAACTATTTGCATTATCCAGAATTGGGTCCCATTAAATAAGAATTTCACTTGGCCGCATGTTGTGGAAACTGAATTAAGTATATGTTAAATTATATGCAGCTCCATGACAATAAACCAGCAGATGGTACGCAGTACATGAACGTTTTGTGTTCTTGCGAATTTTCTAGTGTAGAAAACACTAACAATCCAAAGGTTTCGATTCCTGAATCATTTGCGATCGATCTCGAATTCTCAGTCATCTACCTCTTAATGATAACTAGAATAGGCGCACGCCTTTTATTGTACTACTAGTTAAGATATTTTGGCAACACTTATTCAATAATGCGAAAAGTTTTGCAAACTGACACCAATTAGTCGTATGAAGACAAGATTTTATAGTCCGTTCGAACAAATTTTACAGCGAAGTTTAATAGGTATAAACTAATGGAGACTAACCAATCTACTGGAATTTTCCTCAAGACGGTATGTTGAAACAACAAAATGTGAGTTTGCAAGCGTAGTGCAAGGCTGTAATAAATTAAACAATGTTGAACACAATGATCAGACAAATTTATACGTCTGCGACTCCATGTAATCTGTCGGTCTTGTTATTACTTTGAAGATTCATCAAATTCACAGAATCGTATTTAGAAAACTGAAAGCAACGCGATTCAACTTCAACCTCTTAGAGGATCTCCAAAATAACGAATTTCTACGGCAAAAAGAGATTTCAGATGATATTTGTCACGAAAACTTCTTTCTGATAGATCCATCTTACAATATAGTGCACACCGCTTAATACAGTAACTTGCTACAGAAACTTTTTTCGGCCAAAACTAAAGTTTACATATGTACACGATCTCCACTATTTATTTTTAATGTCTCCCATAAATACGACGATAACGAACAAAATGTGTCAAAACACCTGGGAGTAATTTATAAGGCATATCTGGAGCTACCATTTAAGGAGTCTTTACCAAGTTCTTTGAGAATAGGTTGAACTTGCTCCCAAATACCTTGTCGCTATATGACTAAAACTTCCTCAGCCTGTCACGTAAATTGCTACTGACCTCAGCTAGCAGCGTTTTCTGAAAGAAGGCCCTATGATTTTTCCGGACCATTTAGTATGATCATTAGGTAGCAAATTGCTTCCGTTTTAGGCAATGTTCTTAGGTCTCTCATATCAGTAGGTGTAAAATTGAGTTGTTTATATGATTCGTTCAAATCTACCCAGATTCCTTCGCATCCAACTTTTAAAAATAGCCGAAGCTCTTACCATTCAGGAGCTTAAACCAGAACTATGCGTACAAAAGAAGTACGTCTTATCGTTATCGTTACCTTGGCCTTAAGCATTTTGATTATCCAATTATTATTATTATTATTATTATTGCTGCATTCCCCCCTTTACTTATGTCTTATATTCCCATTGTTTTATTCGTAAATACTCATCATATCACCTTATTTATTTTTTACACCTCTATGACCTTTAATTATTATGATAAAAGCATTTTAATCATCTTATTATATTTACTAAATTTATTGTTATTATTCATATTACATAATCTAGTATTATAACCTTTTTATTAACTGTGTTCATATTTCCTCACGGAATTAGTACTTTTACAAAAATAAAATTTTCATATATATACAATTGTACAGCTTGATAATAAATTCGTTGAAAAGAGATCCTTTCGCTGAAATTCGTGTTTTAAAATTGAGTATTAGCATCCCATCTCTCTCCAGGTGTAACTTATTTCTCTGCCTTAAAAAACTCTAACAGGTGATGGTTCATAATCTAAATTGATACTGGGTTTTATATCTTAAATAAAGATTACTACGAGTCACAGTTATGGACCAAAAAATACTTCCAGCAGACATCAAAGTCGAAATCTTAAAAATGAACGTCAAGAAAGTTCTATTGTACGAGTCTGATAATTTCAGAACTATTAAAACCATCTTCAAAAAGGTTTGCGCGAAGATGTACACAAGGTCCTCCAGTTCAGGCGCATGAGCACAAACAGCCACAATTTACTGTGGCATATAACAAACCGGGCTCCACTTGAGAAGGAAATTTGGAAAAAATATGCTGTTGATGGATGGTACATATTGCGGAAATCATCAGACCGTACAACGAACCAAACCTATGCTTAGTATGCCCAAGACAAAAAGAATAGAGGCAGGCCAAAACACATTGCTTTGTGAATCGGAGGTGGACACATGGGGAATGAGTAGCACTTAAAAACAATGAGAGTCTTAAAGAGAGTAGGTCATAGGATCGAGGTCATCAGCCTTTGCTCCTTGAGTGATAACAGATCTTAGAATGTAAGTTGGTGTGCTACTAGTCGCCTTACATCGTTGAATACAGTGGCGTTTCTGATGTTGCAAAAGTTACTAAAATGTTTGATCATCTTGTGTTTTTATTCCCTACCGATAGTTCTCTTCCCAGCGCCAGACTCGAATTTCCACACGCTACGGGATGATCGATTTTGGTGACTTGAAGACCGCTTCGGCCCTGAAGAAGCTAGATGGTTTTCTGCTTACCAGAAGTTATATATCAGGGTTAGTGTGAATTTTGCGTATGTACGGTGGTGTAATAAACTCGTCTAATGGATGAACGTAAATGTTTATTGGTATTTCAAACTCCTGTATAGCCTGAGTCTTGAGTTTGCCTTTTTTACCATCACATATGTGCCCCTTAAACCATTTTGCTATGGGTTTACTCTATTTTATTGCACTAAGTGTTGGCCAATTCGTATTCCAGGTACATCCTGAAAGTCACGGGCTGACCGTCGTTTATGAACAAATCGATCTGAATTAAGACTGCAAACCTTGAGTTCATCTATGTGGAGAAAATATGGGATTGTGAGTGTTGTTAGTCCGTGGTAAAAACTCATTTTTTCCATATTTTTGTGAAAGCTCAAAGATATCTTAGTATTGCTTTAAAGTCCTCAAATTAAAGTTTCGTCGGATTTAAATTATGTAGAATGCTTGTCATTTCTGAGTCTGGCTGAAACTAATTTCTTCTGCAAAACAACACTTCAGACCAATCATGTAGTACTTTCGTTTAGTCTCAAATCATAACCTATCCTAATATCCACCAAAAATACAAAGGTTAGGGTTCAGTTCGTCCAATAATTATTAATGATGTCTTTACAAACTACAGCAACAACCTTTTACGGTAAAGTTCTCAAAGTAGCGCATCATCTAGTTTTTTTCCTCAGCAGCTAAATGATGTAGTAACACCACATAGGAAATGTTGTTGTAGAGTCCATCCGATTTGGCATGCGGACGTTTCTTTTCAGTGTCCACTTTTTACCTAACTTTTTATTGTCAATGAACCAAATTGGAATATATTGGTCCACTAAATTTTCAATAAATAAACTCAGTTCATTTGTATATGTTTGACAGTGTTGTTAAAAACTCTAGATTACTGCCTGGTATAACAGTTCTACGAATAATTGGGTTAATATTTGGGTCTGTTAGTATAGCTAGTGTCGAAATTATTATTAGCAAACACGCTTTATAATCCATTTTATAATGATATTTTTTGTAGGTTTCAGCCTACTCAAGCGGATGTCTCAACTTTCATAGCCCTTGGGAAGTCACCGTCATCAGATTTTGGCAATATTTTACGCTGGTACAAACATATTGACTCTTTTGGTGCGGAACAAAAAACATTTCCTGCTCCACAGGAATCCGCCAATCCTGAACCAGGTAGTCAAGAGTTCTATGGTTTAAATTGCATTTCTTTCTTTTTTAGCTAAATGTACATCGCCTGCCGCGAGTGACGAGCTCGATTTATTTGGCTCTGATGATGATGATGATGAAGAATATGAAAAACTAAGAAGTGAGCGCCAGGCTATTTACGAAGAGAAAAAAGCAAAGAAGGATATTCCTGCAGCAAAGTCTATGGTTGTCTTTGATGTAAAACCGTGGGGCGACGAAACTGATATGGCGGAGATGGAAAAGGCTGTCCGTAGTATTCAAGCCGATGGGCTGTTATGGGGTTCGTCCAAACTTGTTCCTTTGGCTTATGGGATTAAGAAACTCCAAATTGCATGTGTTATTGAAGATGATAAGGTATGCATTCTCAGTCAAATGTTTGTCAAGAGCATTTATTTAATCAATAAGATCAATTGAAATTGTGTTCTCAGAATTCTTAAGTCTCTAAAGTAGAATATTGCCTATGTCTCTTTTTCAGGTCGGAACTGATATGTTAGAAGAAGAAATAACGAAGTTTGAAGAATTTGTGCAGTCAGTTGATATAGCTTCTTTTAACAAAATCTAGTTCTACTTTGGTATATGAATAAAATTTTTTAGATGTATCGTTTTCTTTATGCTCCCACGCGGTTTTATAGTGTTTGTTTGCATTGTAGACAAAATCCATATTTGTTCATCGGTCGTAGATTCTTGGGGATGAATAAATTCGAAACAATGACGAATGTGTAATGACTAAGCTTAGATACGATTGAACACGACTATGACTGACCATTAATCAATACACTCATGTACCAGGTTATGTTACTTACGACTGACCAACTAGAACGTTTACTTATACCTCACTCTGTCAGAAGCAGTAGTTAATAACGTCAAGAACTTATATTTTTTGGCTTAGTCTCTTTCCTCTAGCATGTCTCTGCGTTAGTTCTGTGATTCGAGATAAACGGCGACAAAGGCGGGGTCGGTAACCTTTCAACTGTATAAATTGGTAACCCTTACAACCTCACCGGTCGACTCACCATCACTAATGTTTTTAGTTTGTTCCCCTTCAACACAGTCATGAGCAACGTAGAACTCGGCGCACGTTCGTCGGTCCAAGTTACCACATCGAACTAGCAGAGCTAGATGCTGCAGTAGTAGGATCAGAAACATCCGTATTCGTAGAAAAGATTAGATACAGACAGTATAATTCAAGAAAGAGCCAACTCGCAGACTAGAAATCAACGGATCACAAAACTCAGGGTCTTAGTGAATTCATTTGTCCCATTGTGGTCGATTCTAAGCCATTTTCACCCCATAGTCTCGGTGATCCCACGAACTCTTCCGATGTGCCTCATGTTAACAATCAATAAATTCATGGACTGACCCTGCATCCTAGTTTGGTCCCATAGCTCTCATCCGATTCAATCCAGTAGCAGCAAACGTCTCACGTCAATGCAGGCGATAGTTGGGCTTGCCCAATGGTCGAAGTAGATGCAAGTTTGATACCTCGTCAACCGATTTGCCCATCTCTACCTGGAGCCCGGCGTTCAACATGGGTAACGCTTAGTAGTACACGCGTGTACAATGCTTCGAATGCATCTGTGACCAAATACTAATGACCTACGGATATCGTCTTTCAAATGCCGTATTCCATGTCCACGAAGCAAAATGTCACTGTCTGCTTCTTGGTAAACTGGTCCTTTGCTCAAGACACGTCTCGCCTATAACACTGGTGACTTGAGTCGGGGAAGACCATCCGAGCCCTAAATCTGTGACGTGATTTTCCCAAACACCAACCTGCTAGAGCTGATAAAATTTGATCGGCTGACTCAACTAATTTACTCTTTATTGTGATTGTAGGCGTTGTTACAAACCAGTCATGAAGCAATATTTTGCATTTGTATGTAGGGAAACACCTCCAAAACATTGCGTTATTGTAGGAGTAGGTTGCGAGGATCTATGTAGTAACTAGGCTCATAAGCTTGTCTAACATCTAAGAGTTCGCCTGTTGGTTACTTTGTACACCAAATGGTCTGGCTTATCCGCATGCGCATCTTTTATGAATGGCTTACAACTAATTACTGTGCAACTCAAAAGGATATATCCTAGTTTTTGGTATATTCCCAAAGAGAGGCACGTGCAATATTTAATGAACTGATCTTGCAGATAATCATTCACAATTTAAACCAGGTTGCATGTATGTATGTATTTAATCGAATGATGATATCATGAGGAAATATATTTAAAGAGATACATTGGATTAATCTGGTTGTCATTATGTGGATAGAATGAAACACAATTTCCTGTAAATCACATGTCTTTCCTCTAGATAACCCTGATGATTAGACTCGACGTGCATAAAAACACTGCCAGTGAAGTCCCACTCACTGTCTTTTCATGGCGGATGTCTAGTTTACGAAATCGAGAAGACGAAAAGCGAATGTCTGGCGCCTTAACCGAGTTGGTAGATATGGAGGACCGATCCACCTGGGGAAGTTGGAGATAGTAACAGTATCAGTGGTCATAAAAATATTAAGGATAGAAGATACGATTCAAGAAAATATCAGAAGAATTCAGAAGCTTACATTTCAGTGGAAGAAAAGAAATGGATGCACCTGTATTATAGCAAACAATCTTGACCTACGTCAAAGTTTCTAACCACTAGTTACGATGATCACGTGGATTCCAACTAAGCAGTCCACACCAATTAACATAGAACAGTTTATTTGTGAATAACACTTCAGAAGCTAACTTCGCCTATATTTAACTCTAATAGGTGAAATCCCGTCGGCTGAGTATTTAATTAGACCGGTTCTTCTAGTAGTATTATGAATTTACTCAACAATATTTAAAAGCTAGAACACCAGTTGTTAGGACAGTGTACTGTTAATAATCAACAACATTCGCAACTACTCAAATGGCAAGCACACTCAGTCAGTCAGTAACAACGTAGAACTTCGTACGTACGTACATCAGTTCGAGTTGCCACAACACATTAGCACAGAGATGCACTTGTCGATTCAAATCCCGTAGTGGTAGAGGTAATAAGAGTATAAGCAGTAATCGGGAAGATTAGTGTTTGGAGATGTTATTTAAAGAGTATAATCCAGTAAAACAAATTTGGAAAGAGGAAAAAAGGGACATGAAGAATTCAGAAGATTAGAATTTGGGAGAACACAGAGAGTGGATGCACCTGCGGACACCATTGCAAACGATTTTGAGCCATGTCATTCAGGGTCTCTAACCATCAGTTGCTATTATCACGCGGATCCCAACCAGGTAGTCTACACCTACCAACATGACTCAGACCACTTGTCAGTGATTTCATGGACTTGTGCCATGTTTTGGTCTGGCCACCCATAGCTTTCTTCCAATTTACTCCTATACAACAAAACATCGCACATCGAGGCAGTCGGTCGTTGGGCATACGTAACACGTGTCCCAGCCATCTCAACTGATGAAGTTTCACTACGTCATCAATTGATTTGCCATCCTAGTACCTAGTACCCGTTTCCTAACAACTGCATTACTTACTCGATGGTCCCAGGATATACGAGCAATATTTCAAAGACACCTATGATCAAATACTAGTAACCTACGGATATCCTCTACTCTTACCGGCCATGTTTCACTGCCATAAATTGGGACGGAACGAACTGCGCAGTAAACACGTCCTTCGGTTGATAGACGGATATCTCGCCTACGCCATAAATGACGCAAGTTGGTAAAAGCTAGTCGAGCCTTCTGTATCCGTGCTGAGATATCGTCACACACCAGACCACAAGGACCGATGAGACTTCCAAGATACGTGGAGCGATCGACACGCTCAATTACTTCACTCCCTATCATTAGTTCGGGGTCAATGCAACCCAATCGGGAAGCAACATTTTGCATTTCGAGGGAGAGAATCGCATCCCGAACATGCTTGCATTGTTGCTTAGAGTGGTCAGAAGACTGCATTTTGTCAGCGTCTTCACCAAATAAAACTATGTCATCTGCATATTCTAAGTCAACAAGTGAACCTCCTGGTAGAAGTTCAACCCCTGGAAATTTAGATAAGGAGAGTGTTATCTCTAAAAGTACGTCGACCACAAAGTTGAACAAGAATGGGGAGAGTGGACAGCCCTGACGAACACCACTTGAGGTAATCAATTCTGATGACAGTTCGCCATAAGCTCTCACTCTACCAGTTGTGTTCGAGTAGAAAACCTTTATAAGGTTAATGTACTTCTTTGGTACTCCTTTCAGTGACAAACACTGCCATAGAACCTCACGATCAACAGAGTCGAATGCCGCCTTAAGGTCGAGAAATACTACCATTGTGGGGCGTCTGAATGTGTGTCTGTGTTCTAGAACCTGACGTAGTGTGAATATCTGATCTATACAACCACGTCGAGGTCGAAAACCGGCCTTGTTTTCTCTAATCTGCTCTTCACGAGCTTTGATTAGGCGTCGAAGTATTATTGAAGCCAATATTCTAGACACTATATTGGTCAAACTGATTCCTCTGTGATTGTCACAAGAGGACTTTTGTCCTTTCTTAAAAACTGGCACAATCAGTGATTGAGACCAGTCAGATGGGATTACGTCCAGTTCCCAAATCCTACCTAAGACCTCGGTTAATCTCATTGCTAATACTGGACCACCATCCTTAAAAATCTCAGGAGTAAACCTGTCAGGGCCTGCTGCTCTCCCTCGTTTCAGATTTCCTATGGCTTTTTCAACTTCGTAAAGGGACGGAGGACCTACATTAACTTGCCATTCAGGTTGACTAGAGATCGTGGGAAACCGAAGTGTGGCTGAAGGCCAGTTGAACTGATCCCTAAAGTGTTCTGCCCATCGATCCAATCTCCGGAATTGAGAATGAATAATATGTCCATCTTTCTCTGAGATTGTTTCGCTAACGGTCGGGTTCCTAATTCCGGTTTCCTTAACGAGTCTGAACAATTGTCTGCTATTACCTATTGCCGCTGCCTTTTCCATCTGTCGTGCTTTCGCTACCCACCACTGTTCACGATCATTGCGTATACTTCTTGTCAGCTTGCGCTTAAGCTGACTGTGCTCTTCATTATGTTCAGAGCCAGGTGGAATGAGTTTCCGAGCATCTATCAGTGAGATAGATGCTGTTGAGATCCAGTGTTGCTCCCTAACCTGGTTTACCTTACTAGCAGATATCACTGCTGTTTCCACAGCTTTTCGGATATCATTCCATGCTGCATCGGGGTGGGCATCACATACATGGCTGCCTAACTGTTTGCCTAGTTGTTCCTGAAATATACTCTTAGCTTGACTATCATTAAGTAGGCCCCTAAGAGGTTTCCTTGCAGCGTCTTTCCTACGTCCAGTAAGACGCAAGCAAATACGCGCTAGCACTAGAGCGTGATCTGAATCTAGGCATGTGCTCCAGAATGAGCGACAGTCTTCTATCGAGCCCCTCCATCGGTGGCTGATAGCGATGTGATCTATTTGGGTCCAACGTTGGGACGAATTAGGGGGTCGCCATGTTAAAAGATGTTTTTCCTTATGCTTAAAGTTAGTATTTGCAAGGAACAGGCGGTTATCTGAGCATAGCTGCAACAGACGGTCGCCATTATCTGTTCTTTGAGCCACGACACCATAGGA